TGCAAACAAAGTTTTTGGTTTGTTTTTAAAAGCCTGCTTCCTGGTCAAATATGACTTTTTAAATTTTTCAATTACAGTTTATACTAATGTAATATGGCTCTTAAGATAGGTTTCCTGGCCCCTACATCCATCCAGTTTGCTGTCCTAATCCCTTCTGATAGAAAAATTCTAGAGGTACTTCAAGATGGATGCTATGCTGTGAAGATAAAAAACAGATTTGTCTCGCCCAGCCAGCATGACTCAGTGGTTGAGCATCTACCTATGACCCAGGAGGTCGCGGCTGAATTTCTGGTCAAGGGCACACATCCAGAGTGTGGGCTGTGGGCTCCATCCCCAGTGGGGGGTGTGCAGGAGGCAGCCAGCAGAGCAATGATTCTCATCATTGATGTTTCTGTCTCTCTCTCTCCCCCTTCCTCTCTGAAATCAATTAAAAAAAATATTTTTAAAAAACATATTTGTCTGCACAGTAGGGCAATAGGGTCATCACGAGGAAAAGATTGTCCTAAAGCGTATGAGCTTTGTTTCTAGGGGACAAACTTGGTTAAAAAGACTTCTTCAAACTTCTCCCTGCTGTCAAGTTTAATGAAACTCCTACAGGGTTTCTAACATCAGCTTGATCTGAGGAGGCTGCTGTCAAAAAGGCTCCTAGAAGAAACGGGAGAATAAGTGAAATTATTGCAAGAAAAATGGTTCTAATTTCAGTAAGGCAGGGAAGGAGGGGGAGGGGCAGGAACTGGGTGGAGGCAGGCCAAGCCGGGGAGGGGAATGAGGCACCTGTAATGGTGTTAACAGGATAAATCAACATAAAATATTTTACAAGTAGATGGAAGACAACGTTTTCTAGCAAGGGAGAAAATTTATGGAAATCTTACCCTTTGTAAACAATATGGAAGAAGCATTTGAAGCTTACAGACAGCGTGTGCCTGCAGGAAGCTGCTTGTGCCTGGGTGACACCATCTAGTCTGGGCTGCCCTGGTTAGTTCTGGATTAACCTGAGGATAAAACTAGCAGAACTTGGTATTATTGTGAGGGGTGGGAGCACATGTGCCTTAAGAACTGAGAAAGGCTAATCATCCTTGTTGCCACTTACTGCCCATCATTATACAGCCTTTATACCCAAAACCGAGTTCAATGAGCCTGGGAGTGTGCCAGAAACTGAAACTGAAGCCTTGTGAAACGACTACATCAGCTTCCTGCATTTACACTCACTTTCAGAGGATGTGTTCAAAAATAGTCATTCCTTTCTGTTTTAAAATTGTTTTGTGCAAGAATGGACAAATGTTAAAAAAAAGAAAGAAAGAAAAGAAAACGATGCTTTCGGAATTTTCCGAATGACAAGTTGGTTGATGGATTGGTGTCCTGAGTTTGCAGATTTTGTCAAAGAAAAAAGATAAATTGAAAATATTACCAAAAAAAAGAGAAAATCTGGGGCCTCCTGCCGTGGGAAAGCGACTTGGTGACTCCCCGAGTTCCCGAGCTGGGAGGGACTAGCTGGGTCCCCTTTTCCTGATGAGGAAGTGCAGGGTGACGTGTCCTCGAGGCTCATTCAGGACACACAGTCATCGCTGCTCTGAGAGCTGGACCACGGCCCCGGGGGTGGCGATGGCGAGCTGCCGGCGAACACTAACACTTTTGGGTGGCAGAGAGGAGGCGCATATAGATTCAAACACGGTCACCAAATGAGGGTAAACTAAGCGCACTCCTGAGCAATACATCAAATGAGCTGTCAGACCCGGTGAATCCGACTTGCTAGCCGACTGGCTTTTCACCAAAAGGGGCTTCGTAGAGCCCAGGGACGGAGGACTTGGGTCCGCTGGGGAGGGGGCGGGGTCGGGCCTGGTGAGCCACGCCTTCTCTGAGAGGCGGGCCGCGTGGAGAGAACGCTGGGCGCGATTGGCCCTTCGTCACCACGTGATCCCAGAACGCGTTCCGGTTGGCTGGTGCCCGCTCGGACAACGGCTTTCAGTTGAGAGGCGGTTGCGGGCGGAGGAGGAGCTTGGGCTGCGCTCTCTTCTCGCAGTGGTTGTAGTTTTCGACGCCGGTCTGGTCCCCACCCCTTTTAAATAAGTCGGGCTGGGCGCAGCCCTCACAGACTCAGAAACTGG